CACCACTCCTATACCTTTGGACCTTTTCCATTTTAAATTATCTATTATTCATTTTAATCATTTTAATCCTTATTTACACTTTCAGTTTCTCACACTAGAAAAACTATTTGGTATTTACACATGTGCATCCTATTTAGTTCACTTAAGAGTATGGCCTCAATATGCATACATTTAGCTATAAATGTCCCTAGTTTCTCATTCTTTATCCTAGTTATTAATAGCACCATATGCTGCCCTTTGTATTGAATCATAGAACTTTTTTTCTGACTTCTCTTCTAGAAGAGAAACTATTCTGAAATATTATTATTTGTAAATAATTGGATACTCAATATTAATTGTTAAATGCACAATTAATATTTAAAGCTTCTGTTGATGGTATTTCTAAGTGTAAAATTGTATAAATGATAAGGATATTGAGAAAGTTTCAAGGGCTTTCATTTGTAATGCAAATATAATGTAACCATGAAAGTGATATTTGTATTTAGTATTGTAAAAATTTCTAATTAGTAGAGAATTATTGCACAAATATTTCCTGATAATCAGTATTATGTCTCCAGATATTTCACAGTCATTAAAACATATTGATTTTTTTTCTATGTTTAACAAAGAAACTAACACAATAGTTTAAGTTTTCTTAAATATTGAAGTATATAAAAGAAACATTATTTTTACTCTCATCTGTTTCATAAGGAGAATCAAGTATTTCTACTCTTCTTGGAGTATCCCAAGACAATATAAAGATACCTCATGTTAAAAATGCATTTTCACCATTTTAATAGTTTGAATTTGCACTTGAAATTGGGATAAAATAAAATTAAATAGTTTTGTCAGAGTAAACGAAATATGAACACAGATCATGGTAACTATAAAGAACACAGAGTTCTAAATAAAATCTTAAAATACAAAACAACATGTAACAAGCTTTATGAATAATTCAGTTTCTTTTAAAATAAATTTTTCAAAATGCTTATAAGTATTTCAACTTAAGATATTTCACATAGTATTATATTCATAAATGTATAACATTATTTGAGGACAAAACACCTTGGCTATTTTATACAAATAAAATGTGTATTTCATTTTTATTTCATGTGTCTTCCAGATATGTTATACTTTGAAATAATTAATTTAAAATATCTTCTCCTTGTATATATATTTATGGACAAGGAATAATTCATTTTCCCTTTTAAATTTGTTACTTGAAAGTCCTATAACCCTAAGCACTTACTCTTGACTGTTCTTGAACATTTTATTTTTGTGAAGTTCCTTGCTTTGTATTATTTATAAAAAATTTGAACACATATTACATATTTTTGCATCCATTTAATTAGACATATGTAAGTGGGAATCTATTATAATAGTCAAATTAATGTTTTTACTAGAGGTTTATCATACTCTGGTTTCTCTTCAGAGAGTATAAATCTTTCGTCTTTTTACTAGAGGTTTATCATCAAAATACATAGTTCTATAAAATAAAGAATGTATTCTTTAAGAAACAAAAAATGTTATTGTCTTGTATGAACATTATTTCCCTGAGTTTTTTGTTGTAATTTTACCATTTAACTAGAGTAAGCAATATTTGTTTTTCAATCATAAGGAAAATTATAAATGGGAGAATTGAACTTGTTTAATTTTTAAAATATATATATTGTCTAATTTTACAAATTGTATAATTTAATCAATATTTAAACATCTTGTGCATTCTATTCACACACACATATAATGTAAAAAATTTAAAAATTTAGAAATATTTCTTTCTTTTTTTCTTTCTATTTGCATGAGACAGGGTCTCACTATGGCTGGCCTTGAATTCACTATGTAGCCCAGGCTGGTCTTGAACTCACAGCGAGGTAATCCTCTTATCTCAGGCTCCTGAGTCCTAGGAATACAGATCTGTGCCTCCATGTCTGACAGAAATATTTCAAAAACCAATATTTGTAACTTCTTACTTAGAAATTTAAAAATTATACAAGAATTTTCATTAATTTATTTGCAACAATCTATTGCTTTAAAATTATCCAAAGAAACAAAAATGTAAGTCATCAATTAAGAACTTTTTGATAGGTAACATTCAGAAGACTCACCTCCAGTAGAAAATATCATTCATTTGAACTTAGCAAGTTTGCATTTTGATAGCACTAAAATATAAAATAAATTACAATCTACTAGTCCTATTACCTTCAATGTGCAATTTTTTAAACTTAAATATGAGAAATTAAGTTTGCTTAATATTTTCTATTGTGCTAACATTATTTATATATAGTAATAAAACCAAGAACAAGACAAAGTATGAACTAAATATCAATACCTCTTTATTAGTTAAGTCACTTAATAATATAAATAAATTAAATAGTTTTAATAGGAATAATCCTTTACATTTATTTGTCCAAATTTTAAAATATTTTGATATATTTATCTAAAACTTAAGCCTTTATAAAGCTCCCAATAAAATTTTATGCTTTATAGTTTTCCAGGAAAATGTTTTAAATATTTGTATCTTTTATTTATTATATCTTATTTGAATAAGATATTCTTAGTATGTGGCCCAAATAAAATAATGAGCTATTTTACAAATCAAGTAATACCAAGTTTTCTCCAAAAATCAAAAAATGAGAGGAGAAAGAAAAAAAATCTTGCAAGTTAGCTTTATATACATATGTAAATTATGTATGTGAATTTATACCTATATGTAAATTAATCACAGGAAAAGCTAATTTTTATAAATAAAAGAAAAGGCTTAGATGAAAGAAAAACATTTTGATGTACATTAGAAATATTTTATTTGTTAGTTAAAAGTAATATTACTAAAATGTTAAAATAGTGATCCTGTAAAAAATTCCATTAGAAGGTCACCATTTTATTCCATGGCATTTTAAATTTAGTGTTCAGAATAAAAGTGGGTAGGAATGCAGCTAAAGTTGTAGTATATAAGAAAGGAAATAGAGCCAAGAATGTATATAATTATTTTTACTTACATAATTTCAAAGCTTATAGTAACTGACACGTTAAACTCCTTATTCCGGCTTAGATCTAATTTCTTATCTTTCCTACATCTCAAATATTTTTACATATGTTTTTATATTGTTATTTGATATCTACAGTGTTAATATTGATAGGCTAAATATATTCTTTCAATGTTAAAATTATACTGTTTAATTATTGTTACTTGGCAGCAGAGTTGTTTATTAGTTCAATAAATATTTCTGTGCAGATACGGTATCGCTCCTAATTAGTATATCAGGAAAGATTAGTAAGTAGATGTTAAATTTTCTATTCACTAATATTTTAATGTGATGACAGTTTTTCCTATCACTAAAAATGCACAAGAATCCATAAAAAATAAAAGTTTTACCTATTTTAATAAAAAATATTTTACCTTCTTCCAGTAGGGTTGATTTTCTTTTTTAACATTTATATCTTTGATCCATTTTGATTTCAATAAAATACAAGGTGAGAAATATCATTTCAGTTTTAATCTTCTGCAAATAGATATCCAGTTTTTCCAGCATCACTTGTTCAATATGCTATCTCTTCTCCAATGTATGTTTTTGGTCCCTTTGTCAAAGATCAAATAGCTGCAAGTATATCTGGTGATGTTTCTGTATCCTCTATTCTGTTCCATTGATCCACATATGTTTTTGTTCCAGTACCATGCATTTTTTATCACTACTACTTTGTAGTACCTTAAAGGCAGGTATTGTAAGAGCTCCCCTCAACTCCATAGGAAAAAACAGCAAGAATCAACAAATGAGATAATATTAAACTATATATGCTATAAACATGAATTATGTTTAATAATATCAACAAGAATGAAAATGGAGGGCTGGACATGGTGGTGCACACCTGTAATCCCAGAATTTGGGTGGCTGAGGCAGAAAGATTGAGTTTGAGGCCAGCCTGGGTTAGATAGGGAGTTCAAGTCCAGCCTGAGCTACACAGCAAGACCTTGTCTCAAAGTGGGGGGGAGGGAGAGGAGAAAGAAAGACACTAAGAAAAGTTTAAAAAGAGAAGAAAATGGAGAAATTGGGGAGAGGAGGAGATTAAATAAAGAAAAAAGCTTCATTTACCCACTCCCCAAAATGATTGTAAAATGCATGTACTGCAAACATGTAAAAATAAATAAAAAGTTTTTAAAAAATAAAATTGAAAGAAAAAAATTTAAGTTATCTAATAAAGTACAAAGGAAGAAAAACATAAAATATTTACATATTTACACAAGAAACTGTACACAAAAGATTTACAGATGCAGAACCCTGTGGTATATGCCTGAAAGTTTCAGCCCACCCTGGGCAACTTAGCAACCTAACAAAATCCTGTCTCAAAATCAAAAAAATAAAAATTGCAGAGACTAAAACCTGTTGTAGCAAAAGAGACACAATAGTTTCAAACTGATGATCTCACTGTTGTTTCCTCAGGTGCTAGATCTTTGCTTTCAAATTTCTTACTTTTCATTTTTGGAAACTATTAAGTTTCCTAATAAACAGCTTTGTAGTTGCTTGCATACTTCAGCAGGTATTATGAGGATAGTTATTTACATTTTCATTTAGTTATTTTCATTTTAAGTAGAATTAAACTATACTTGAAAGTGATTGAGGATATGGTAACTAATACTCAGCTTGTTATAAACTGCTGTTGAAGATTATTATTTAATTTCCTTCACCAGGCTTGTTTATAACCAACATAAGCAATTATAGTTGATTTACAAATAGTATATGCTAACAGGAAAGGAAATGTAAAAATTACTTCTAGTAGTTACTTTTTACTGTTCCTTATCATTATTAATGATAAATAATATTGAATCAGAAATATCTGTTCCCTATCTCTATGAAGACATGCATTTAACTGTATTTCTTGGCTTTTCCAGAAAATAAATTCATACATGGTGTAGTTTTCCCAACATAAGTACAATATCATAAGCTTAAACTTCCAATGTTAACTACTAATATCTTATGTTCATTCATCTAACAAACATTATTAACATTGATTTTTATTATTCACAGATATTGGCTGACCTAGAAAACCATGCATTATTTAAAAATGATCTAGAATGTCAAAAGCTGATTCTGGAAGCAATGAAATATCATCTCTTGCCAGAAAGAAGAACTTTAATGCAAAGTCCCAGAACTAAACCCAGAAAATCTACAGTTGGAACTCTGTATGCAGTAGGAGGAATGGATAACAACAAAGGTGTGTGATTCCATATCTGTATTAACACATTTGCTGTGTCATACTATGACTCAATTATAATGTTTAATCTTTATAAGCAAAAATACTACATAAATTCAGCTTTGAAATTATGATTTAATATTATTAAAACTTAATCTTAATAAAGCTTATTAAATAATATTTAAGGGAAAATTAAAGGATCATTTGTTATTTCTGGTTTATAGTTGCTACTTTTTTTCATTCATCATTAAATAATTCATTCATTTTTTTGTTTTATATACTAGAATTCAAATAGAATGAAAGGCAAATTCAAAAAGCTTATTTTGAAAGCAAGGGCCACGTAATTTGTTGGCTATATCGAGAACTGCATTTTAGGTTTAAGTAAAGGAAATGCAAGGTGCCATGCACATGATTGTTCAGAATGCGATCACGAGGAGGCACAAACCTTGAGAACAGAGAGTGTCATATAGAAGTAAAAATAAAAAATAAAAAATATAAATGAGTAAAATAAAAATAGGAGCAGTAATTCATAAATTTATCTGTTTGCCAATTTAATACATCATAATAAAATAGTTTAGCAACTGAACACATGCATTTAAAGTGTTTGCTCTTGTAGTTATTGGAAAAATCTCCATGAATAACTGTCCTTTTCAGTCTTAAATATATGTATCTTTATTTTCTTGATCAAGTCTAAAAGATAAATAATAAAATTATAAATTCCGTAGGTTTGGGCATTATATGTAGTATAACTAAAAATAATGTATTTCAATACATATGCAAAATGCAATTGAAAAACATGCAATATGGGCAAATATGTAATCTTTTTTAAAAGAACTTTGTGTATTTGAAAATCAAACCAAAGCAACAAAAGTACTATAAAGTGAGGCATCAGGATAGTAGCTAAAGGAAAACAATTTATACAGTCACTATAGATTCATATATATTCCTTTTTTTTTTTTACCTGCCAAAAGATATCCTATGACTATTAGATGGTTTACATAGTTTAATTTTTTGAAAAGTTTGTCTCATCTTTAGTAGAAAGATGATTTCAAGTAATTATCACATTCAATGATTCGGAATATTAATTCATGAAAATAAAAAATAATTTAAAACAAACTAGAAGTCATGTACAGGTACTTAGCAAATCAAGAGTGTAAAATGGCCAAAGATTTCTCATGGTATGAGGTGGATTAATGCATTTGTAATAAGAATGTGGTACTGGATGAGGACAGATGCTAACCTTTACAGTATTTTTGAATTACTATACCTTCTAAAATTTATAGTAAGCTGGAGCTCATCTATTTGAGTACATTCATTTCCAAAAGAATAGAACCTAGATAATGATTCTGATTGTTAACTTTATGTGTAATTTGACTGAGTTAGGGAATATTCAGATATTCTAAAGACATATCTCTGAGCGTGTTTGTTTCTAGAAGAGATTAGCATTTAATCAGTAGACAGCAAAAAGAGAATAGAATATCATCTTTACCAATGAGTGATCATCTGCCAAACCCTTAAGGACCTGGATGAAACATAAAGGCAGAAAAAGAGAGAATTCCTGCTCTTTTCTGGAGGTGGACATCCATCCTCTCCAGCCTTCAGGTTTCGATACTAGAGTGTCTTGAGTCTGCTCCTTCAGACTCAAGTTACCAAGGTCTTCAGGCCTTGGACTGAGTTGCTCCAGTGACTCCTCTGGTTCTCAGGCCTTTGGATTCCATTGTTGGCTTTCCTGGTTTTCTAGCCACAGACTGAGCATGGTGGGACTTCTTGCCTCCATAATTTCATGAGCCAAGTCATGAGCCATAGTAATCCTCTGTTTTATATCTATATATCCTATTGGTTCTTTTTCTCTGAAGAACTCAGAATGATTGTCTCTAAAGACAGAAAAAATTGAAAATATATTTCAACTTTTTCATATGCAAAGTTTTTATAAAAACTTCTTTATAATAATGTTAATTATACCTCAATATTACTCTGTTTTCTACTTCCTCTCCTTACAATTATATTTTGTGTATGACAATTTTAAGAAATTTGTAATTTCACTTTAAAATGTATTTTGTAATGAGGAAATAGTACAGCTTCTTAAAATTTAACATGTTACAAGAACTACTGAGAAAGGTAATGTTACCTCAACAATAAACTCAGGTTTTGCTTAGTAAAACTAAGTTGTGGTCATTGTCTTTGAATGATTGATTGATAATTGATTCACTCATTCATTAAAGAAAACTCATTTACTATCCACTCTGTGCCATAATCTCCACTCTAGGAACTTGTGGTTTTTATTCAATTTAAGTGCAGTAATGATTACAATTATCAAGTAAACTCAAGGCAGACTTCAAATATACAAAATAAAACCATTATCAGTTAAAATATATATAATGTCTTTTTAAGAACTAGGGAAATAATATAAATATTTGTTTTTCACTCCTTCTATCCTTCTCTCTTTCCTTCCACGGCTAACTTCTTCAAATAGGAAAGCATTTTGGATGTGTTTAATGTAAAAGGAAAATGGTTTGAAATTTTCTTTTTAAAATAATGAATCCGAAAATGAAAATCTAACCATGAAATAATCCAAAAAATGTGCTGAAAAACCAAAACATTTAGTCTAGCTAAGAAAACAGAGATGTTAACCTGTATCCAAATTGGCCTTATGAGATTATGCAATGCCACATAACATCCACCACATGACAGTTATTCTATTTTTAGAATAAAAATATTTAAATATCATTGAAGTGTTGTGATTGGTTAATTTTATCTTTTAACCTGATTGTCAAGGACTCTTAGTGAATACAATTATTCAAGTCTCAGATTTAAATAAATATGGTTTTTACATTTACCTACTTTCAAGGTCAGTTGAGTGCCATTTATAAAAGCAAGAACACCATATTCCACATACAAAATGTCAATATCCGACCAATTACATTTGTAAATTTTCACATGATATATTATACTGTGAAAAACAAATTGAAAATATTGATTAAACATTAAACAATACATTAATATTAGGAAAATACCATTGTACCATTTAAGAAAGAGAGGTAATGACTAATTTGAATTTTTTCTTGTTTAAAATGTTATTTAATTGACTTCACCAGAATATTTAAAACTATGAAATTGTTCTTTCTGAAATATTTTACACTTGTCTAATTGCAAGAATATTAAACAGGAATTTGTCTTATGCAATATATATCCATCTAAATATATTTAACATTGTTGATTATTTCAGTAATACCAGTGATATCTTAAGTGGTGAATTTTTGTGATTTTGATGTTGTTGCTAGAGCATAAAGCAATCTTAGAATATAGTCTTTTGTGTTAAAATATTTACCAGAATGTGAATTTCTTCAATTTTATACAGCAATCTTTTTGCTTTAGAAATTGAACTTCGTTAGAAATCTTGAATCTTTTTCCTTTCAGAATTTCTAATACTTAATTATTGTTGCCTTTATTTAGTAAGTTAAAGATTTATAAATATGTGAGAAAACAGGAGAATTTGAAATGAGATTTCTTTTTAAATAAGACATGAAGCAGAAAATCTTTAAGAACTTTTATCATAGTAATATAGAAGTGGCTCATTAGATATAGGATAAAATTTCAACAAAAATCTAATGCTTAATATTAAACTTAAGAGAAACTATTAAAACAGAAACTTCTAGAAGCTAAAGTTCTGAGGAATTTAAAGATCAGTTAGAATACATTCAAGGTAATTGCATCATGCTTTTACTGCTTTCAAGAGTGCTTTGTACAAGTTTCTGTGTTATCTGTGAAGTTATTAAGATTTTATCTTAAAATTGTATTCTCTTATCTTGAAAGGTAATGAGGCAAAGGGAATAACCATGTGAAAATAAAACTTAAAAAGTAACAGAAAACAAAATTAAAAAGGATGCAGCAAAAATTTAGAATTCACTATACCTGATTATTTAAAAAAATCTATGTAGTACTCAGTGTGATCTTTTGGAATTACTTATATATTTATAGCAGTTTTTGTAAAGGGGTAGGTAATCATTTCCTTGAGTTTCTCTTCAGCTTCCTAATTACAGATGTTATCTCATGAGGTTGATAAAACATGGTTAATAGGGCTGGGGATTTAGCTCAGTAGTTCTGCCACCTGCCTTGCAAGCAGAAGAACCCAAGTCTGATCCCTGGTACCAAAAAAAGCAAAAAAAAAAAAAAAAAAAAACCATAGGTAATAACCCTGGCCAGTGTTCTGCAGATATCATGAAAATTCAGAACACTGTCCTGTCCTATCTTTTTCCAGGTTCCTATACCTGTACTCATAAATGACACATGACATTGGCATAACTTTTGTGTGTCAGGCTCTGTCTTAAGAACTGGTACAGAGTGATGAATATTATGAATATGATACTGTCTCATAGAGCTACCAACCTTATTTTGGAAAATACAGAGTAAGGAAAATATTTAAAATAAATGTTATTAGAAAAGAATTGCAAATACAACAAATATAATGCATAGATAGCAAAATTAGTCTAGCCTAGAAAACTACAAGAATAAAAAGAAGCTCTTTCTGGTATTTTATTTCCCAGAGAAAAATCTAAAGAATTATGAAGAATTGGTTTAGAAAATTACTAGAATGGGAGCATGATGATGGTAAAGACTTTGGATATAGAAAATATGAAGGTATATAATCTTTATTATATCTTTGGCATTAAATACATATCCAATAAAGAAATATATGTATTTTTTCAGATACTTGAAGTTATTTTTGTCACTATTATTCACTGCTTGTATTGTCTATGTGAAATTTTATATCTTATTAAATTATTAAAAGACATTTAAAATAATATATTCTTATACAAATGAAATGTTATAATTTATTTGAACTTGACTTTAAATATTCACTTTATTGGAATTCCAGTCTTTTTTTTACCCAAAATTGCTACAGGATTTGCATGAATAAAAATTTATAGGCATACCTGAATGAGTCCTTGGTAAAAAAAATTTGTGGATAGGGAGGCAATACTTTTGTGAAATATGCATTGCTTTTTATTCTACTACTAAAT